GGATCGGGCCCCACAAACTTTGTGTGGCGGATGTGTTAAAGTGCTAATTATCTAACGTTTCACTCTATTTGTTTTAAGGCTAAACAACGAAGAACCCCAAAGTCCGAGAGCGGGCCCATCCAATGAGCGAGCGTGGCCCGGATGGGTGGGAAGGAGGAGGTTGGTGGCCAAATGGATATTGCTAATTAAAACTGATGAAATAGAATAGCATTTGAAGGACACAATGGGCTGTAAACTTACTTCCTATTAATTGAACTCAGTGTAATGACATATCAAAATGAATAGCTAGTGATCTGGAAATTCATTTAGACCATTAGTTTAATTACAGAAACTGATGGAAGTTTTCTCAGACAATTATGCGAAAGGACTAGAGCAGTGTGGGGAAGATCTAGACGCTCTCACACCACCCTGTCTTTATTTCTTCTTTCTCTAATTTCCTCCCTCCCGCCATTTTGTTTGTTTGTTTTTTGGTCCTGCCTGTAGATTTTGAGATTAAAGCATGGCTATTATTGACAGATCAATTGAGAGAGCCCACGGCTCATTCACAAGCTGTCCATAGCACAGTTGGAAATAATTACTTCATAAAAAAAAAAAGAAAATGAGTAGCCATTTCAAATTTCCCATAATTCTTTGGAACGATGCTATGTTGAGTGCTCCAAGGCATTGTACAAAGTAGGGTTGCTGGCCCAGAATTAAAGGGCAGGATCCTTCTGACCACAGGAGTCATGCTGAGTGAGGAGGTACCCCGAGGCGCTTTTGCCTTTGAACATGCATCTTCTTAGGTTCCCACATCATTTATTCAAAGATCTCACTTCTACCATGAGATGCAATGATTGTTGAGTTTCCAAGCTAGTTGCTTCCTTGCATTGTGGGAACCTCTTCCTCAATCTCTTATTCAAAGACATCCACGCCATCCTATCTCTTGATTGGCTTCTTGTTTAGATTGTTGTATCAAGTTTGAGTAATTGCTTACATCCATGTCTAAGAGTGATGGAAACACAGAAGAACTGTGGTGGCACAGTGGTTAGAATGCAATATTGCAGGCTGACTCTGCCCACTGCCTGGAGTTTGATCCTAATCGGCTCAAGGTTGACTCACACTTCCATCCTTCCAAGGTGGGTAAAATGAGGGCCCAGATTGTTGGGGGCAATGTGCTGACTCTGTAAACCACTCAGAGAGGGCTATAAAAGCACAGTGGTTTGGTATATAAGTCTAGGTGCTATTCCTTCCTTCCTTCCTTCCTTCCTTCCTTCCTTCCTTCCTTCCTTCCTTCCTTCCCAGTGGTTAGAATGCAGTGTTACAGGCTGACTCTGCCACAGTCAGAAGTTCGATCCTGACCAGCTCAAGGTTGACCCATCCTTCCATCCTTCCGAGGTCAGTAAAATGAGGACCCAGATTGTAATGGGCAATAGGCAATGGCTGAGAGATGGTTGTAAAGCACTATGAAGCAGTATCTAAGTCTAAATGCTATTGCTATTGCTAAATTTAATAATTCAAGTAACTAGGAATTATTAAGGTAGCACCTAAGAATATAGGCCCTACCAAGCAGGGTGATTTTTTTTTTTGTAAACTTAGTAAACTTAGGAAGTTCAATGATTTCAATATTTTCAGATACCACAGCCAGTCAAAACAATGCTGAAAGCCATCTTCCCTAACTTGAAATGCACAACTTTTTCACTTTTTGTCACTCAACTTTATACAGGCACACCTGGAATCCCATTTCCATCTCCCTCCCTGGGTCAGATGGCTAAGACAAAATCCAATTTTGATTTAATTGCCATGTAAATTAAGGGGATATTAAATTGAATTAATAAAAGTCACATGACCCTCATTATAAGTTTGGGTATTTCACCAAGGGATTCAATCACAATTGGTAAGACTACAGATTTCTTTTTTTTCCATAGGTGTGTTCATCTTTGATATGCAAATCCCAATATTTTGTATTTTTTTTTCCTAATTCTTTTACCTCAATCCTAGCATCACCAGGTATAGAAACACTGATGAACCAGAATTTCTTCTTTTTAATTACTTTCAATCGTAACATGCTTTGTTATAAGCAAGATGCCTGTTTGTTTGGATCTTTAATAAAATAGTATCATTATTATTTTGTCTACCATGACTTTGTGCCTCTATCAGGGATACTGGAATGAGGTTGGGCTCTTTCTTTCAGATGATAAAACTTTTGTGATAGTTCAAGCAGATTCTGTACTGTATACCAGTACAGTATACAGTGGTGGTTTGTAAGATACTTGTTGGGAAACAAGAAACTAGTAGAGGAGAGAAAGGGCAAAAATGTCCGAATGAAGGTCACGACTGCAATGCATGTGAGAAAAGGCCACTATTCTTCTTATTTTTTTTTTACTTTTTGATCTCTCCTTCCTGCAGACCCTTCCTCAAAATGAAAACAAGGGGCTTCAGAGCAGAACAGGAAGGGAGAAAAAACACTATTGAGAAATGGCTTTTAAAGGAAACTTGGTGGTAGAACTAGAATATCTCTTCGATCAAATATCTTTTAAAGGCAGATACACTAAAACAGACACAAATTGATGACTATCTGACAGGACCTCGGAAATGGACATTTTCAATTGCCTCCCCCTTAATTCAGAATTATTTCTGTGTAGAGATATGGTCTCTTCCTGTGATGGGAAGGGGAGCTTGTATGAGTCAGATGAAGAGATTTAGGATAGCCAATCCCTTGAATCTCCCGGGGTATGTTCATTAGGGTGAGTAGTAAAGATTTAGTCTGGTAGGATTCTGTCTTACTGAAGAACTGAACTTTGGCTGGGTTATTCCATGTTGTTCTTGGGCTGGGCTGACACTTCTTTAAGGCCTGATTGTTTTTAGCTAGCAGTTTTTGATTTTATCAATTTTGTTTCGTTGTGAATGGGTTTATTGATTGGTTTTGAACAGGTTTTGGAAATGGGAAGCATACAGATACATTAAATTTCATTAAATAAACGAATAAATGAGGGGTCCTGGATCGATTGTGGATTCTTAATTTGAAAGGTGGTCTCTAAGGCAGAACACTCTTAAAATTTGCCGTTGACATTCAATAAAGTTATTCATATAAGTAACATAAGACATAACATCTCTTCATTGTTGTGAAGTATCTTATTCACAACCCTTCCAACTGTTTCACCTTTATCAGCATCCTTATAATCATACCACAGTCTGTCAAAATGATGCATCTTCCTTGACCTTAAATGCACAACACTTCCACTTTTTTCAGTCAACATTTCCATTTTTTTTCTCACTGTACTTTACCATGGCACACCTGGAATCCCACTTCCATCTCCCCTGCCTCTTCCCCCCAGGTCTGGTCTGAAACAAAGAGGTGTGTGATAGTAGCGAATATCTATAGCTCGGGTGGAGGATAAAGATGGAGGTTCGTTCTCTGAGCTTGTGGGTTGGTTTCTGAATATTTCATTACCAGGCTGAGTAACATCTTCAGCGGAGATTAGGGGATGTCTGTGTTGGTGTTCTTCTGTTTATAAGGCCTTTGTGTGGTCAGGCATCATAGTGGTTCAATCTTGATACTAACCCCCACTTTGTCTGTCCTTCCTTCCTTCCTTCCTTCCTTCCTTCCTTCCTTCCTTCCTTCCTTCCTTCCTTCCTTCCTTCCTTCCTTCCTTCCTTCCAGCATTTAGCATTTACAGCCCTCCCTAAGCGGTTTATAGAGTCAGCATATCACTCCCCCCCAACAATCTGGGTCCTCATTTTTACTGACCTCGGAAGGATGGGAGGCTGAGTCAACCTCGAGCAGGTCAGGATCAAACTCCTGGCTGTGGGCAGAGTTAGCCTGCAATACTGCATTCTAACCACTGCGCCACCACGGCTCTTCCTTCCTTCCTTCCTTCCTTCCTTCCTTCCTTCCTTCCTTCCTTCCTTCCTTCCTTCCTTCCTTCCTTCCTTCCTTCCTTCCTTCCATGGAGATATAGCCTGGAAATGAAACATTTGGAAACCAACCCACAAGCTCAGTGAACAAG